TGTCCAGCCCACCGAGTGCCGACTCGGGGACACCGCCCCCGGCGTGGGCCTCATCAGGCGGGTCTGCTCCGTCCTCCTGGCTTCCAGAATGTGCGGGAATCCCGGGTGCCAAGAGTGCCCCTGCCCCGAGCCAGCCCTGCCCTGGCCCCACAGCACCCCCCAGAGGGCTTGCTGTACCCGGTAGCCCATTTCGCAGATGGGGAGCCCGAGGCACCCGTCCGAAGTCACACAGCTGGAGCCCGCGGGGTCCTCGCTTGGGGGCAGGCCTTCCTCTGAAGGACTGGCTGCCCCACGTGGCCCTGCCGGGACAGCTGGCCCCCTGTGACCCCCTGGCTCCGCCTGCCCGCCCCGGCCGGGGTCCCCCGTCCTTGCTGACCCCCGCCCCCGAGCCGGGCCCGTCTGTGAGCCTGTGCGGTGGCCTCCAGGCCCGGCCCGCCAGCGTTGGAGCGGACCCCCCCGCCGCGAGGTGGGCCTGAGCCCCTTTCTCTGCAGGGTCGGGGGGCTCGTTAGCTGCTGCGCGGGCCTGGTTCTGGGGAGTCCTTGCGGGGCCTCTCTTGGCCCAGGCGGTGGCCGCTGTAGGTGTGGATGTGGTGTCCCAACCCCCGTGCCCGGTGGCTTCTTTCCGGAAACGCAGGCCGGTGGGAGTCATTGGATCGGACGGTGAGGCCTTCGGAGCGGGCGTCTGGGGCGGTGCACACGGCGTCCTTTATCGGTCACCACCAGGCAGTGTCCCCGGGAGCACCCGGCCCCCTGCTGCGGGGCTAGGCTTGGGGCGGCGCAGGCTGTTTGAGCGAGCAGAGATGCGGGTGGGCCTGGTCTGGTTCTGCTGCTGCCTCCCAGGGGCAGGCCCAGGAGCTAGGGAAGGGGCGACAGGCCCTCGGGAGGTCCCTGCCGTCCGTATCAAGTCACCCACGGGACCTCCCATGAGGCCACAGCTGGCAGGATGCAGGCAGGAGCCCAGCCGCCCCTCAAGGCCTAGGGTGTGAGTTGCCAGGCCAGGGGCCCTCACCAGAGCTGAGGACACTGTCACCTGGTCAGGAGCTACCCACGGGGTCTGACAATGGGGCCCTGTAGGATGGGGGGCTGCAGGGTGGGGTCCAGTAGGAGGGGGGCTGCAGGTGGGGTCCAGTAGGACAGGGGGCTGCAGGTGGGGTCTGTAGGAGGGGGGGCTGCAGGGTGGGGTCCAGTAGGAGGGGGGCTGCAGGTGGGGTCTGTAGGAGGGGGGCTGCAGGGGGGTCTGTAGGACGGGGGGCTGCAGGGGGGGTCTGTAGGACGGGGGGCTGCAGGGGGGTCTGTAGGATGGGGGGGCTGCAGGTGGGGTCCAGTAGGACGGGGGGCTGCAGGTGGGGTCTGTAGGAGGGGGCTGCAGGGGGGGGTCTGTAGTACGGGGGGCTGCAGGGGGGTCTGTAGGACGGGGGGCTGCAGGGGGGGTCTGTAGGACGGGGGGCTGCAGGGGGGTCTGTAGGATGGGGGGGCTGCAGGTGGGGTCCAGTAGGACGGGGGGCTGCAGGTGGGGTCTGTAGGAGGGGGCTGCAGGGGGGGGTCTGTAGTACGGGGGGCTGCAGGGGGGGTCTGTAGGACGGGGGGCTGCAGGGGGGTCTGTAGGATGGGGGGCTGCAGGGTGGGGTCCAGTAGGAGGGGGGCTGCAGGGTGGGGTCTGTAGGAGGGGGGGCTGCAGGGTGGGGTCCAGTAGGACGGGGGGCTGCAGGGTGGGGTCTGTAGGATGGGGGCTGCAGGGCAGGGTCTGTAGGAGGGGGGGGCTGCAGGGCGGGGTCTGTAGGAGGGGGCCTGCAGGGTGGGGTCCAGTAGGATGGGGGGCTGCAGGTGGGGTCTGTAGGATGGGGGGGCTGCAGGTGGGGTCTGTAGGATGGGGGGGCTGCAGGGCGGGGTCTGTAGGAGGGGGCCTGCAGGGTGGGGTCCAGTAGGACGGGGGGCTGCAGGTGGGGTCTGTAGGATGGGGGAGCTGCAGGGCAGGGTCTGTAGGAGGGGGACTGCAGGGTGGGGTCCAGTAGGATGGGGAGCTGCAGGGCAGGGTCTGTAGGAGGGGGGCTGTAGGGTGGGGTCCAGTAGGAGGGGGAGCTGCAGGGCGGGGTCTGTAGGAGGGGGGCTGTAGGGTGGGGTCCAGTAGGAGGGGGGCTGCAGGGCAGGGTCTGTAGGATGGGGGGCTGCAGGGTGGGGTCCAGTAGGATGGGGAGCTGCAGGGCGGGGTCTGTAGGAGGGGGGCTGTAGGGTGGGGTCCAGTAGGAGGGGGGCTGCAGGGTGGGGTCTGTAGGATGGGGGGCTGCAGGGTGGGGTCCAGTAGGATGGGGGGCTGCAGGTGGGGTCTGTAGGACGGGGGGCTGCAGGTGGGGTCTGTAGGGTGGGGGCGCTGCAGGGCAGGGTCTGTAGGAGGGGGCCTGCAGGGTGGGGTCCAGTAGGATGGGGGGCTGCAGGTGGGGTCTGTAGGACGGGGGGCTGCAGGTGGGGTCTGTAGGATGGGGGGGCTGCAGGGCAGGGTCTGTAGGAGGGGGGCTGCAGGGTGGGGTCTGTAGGATGGGGGGCTGAGGGTGGGGTCCAGTAGGATGGGGAGCTGCAGGGCGGGGTCTGTAGGAGGGGGGCTGTAGGGTGGGGTCCAGTAGGAGGGGGGCTGCAGGGTGGGGTCTGTAGGACGGGGGGCTGCAGGGTGGCGTCCAGTAGGATGGGGGGGCTGCAGGGCAGGGTCTGTAGGAGGGGGGCTGCAGGGTGGGGTCTGTAGGATGGGGGGCTGAGGGTGGGGTCCAGTAGGATGGGGAGCTGCAGGGCGGGGTCTGTAGGAGGGGGGCTGTAGGGTGGGGTCCAGTAGGAGGGGGGCTGCAGGGTGGGGTCTGTAGGAGGGGGGCTGCAGGGTGGGGTCCAGTAGGATGGGGGGCTGCAGGGCAGGGTCCAGTAGGAGGGGGGCTGCAGGGCAGGGTCCAGTAGGATGGGGGGCTGCAGGGCAGGGTCCAGTAGGAGGGGGGCTGCAGGGCAGGGTCCAGTAGGACTGGGGGCTCCAGGTGGGGTCTGTAGCATGGGGGAGCTGCAGGTGGGGTCTGTAGGAGGGGGCTGCAGGTGGGGTCTAGAAGGGGGTGCTGGAGTGGGGTCTGTAGGAGGGGGTTGGGGGTAGGGTCTGTAGGAAGTGGGGCCTGGCATGTGGTCTGTAGGATGGAATCTGGGGGGATTCTATAGGAGGGGGTCGGGGGCGGGTCTGTAGAAAGGCTCTGGAGCAGGGTCTGTAGGGGGGCCGGGGTGGGGTCCTAGGAGGGGCCAGGGTTCAGGGTTCTGCAGGGTGGGGCTCCGTATGGGGGCCTCTTCCGAGCCCGGCTGTAGGAAGGGGTGAGGTTTGCGTGGCGGCTGCAGGTCTGCCCGAGGGCTGTGGTCGGGTCAGCGCAGGATCCATGTATGGAGAGCAGGTCCCTAACTGCAGCTGGGGTAGGGACGGGGTTCCTGTGTGGCTGCGGCTGCCCCTGAGCCCGGGGAGGGCACTGCCGGTGTCGCAGGTGCAGGTGGCAGCATGTGCGTCCTGGGGCAGGTGCTCCTAACAGCTTCGCAGGAGCCTGGCCCCCGACCACACCTGGCCCAGCTCCTCCCAGCAAAGGCATCAGCCGCCCTGAGCCCGGGGGCCGCGTGTGCCTCTAATCCAGGACGCGGTGTGCGCACAGGTGTCACCTATCTCCCCCGGGAAGGGACGTGGGCTCGCATCCCGGGCTGCAGAGCTGCGCCTGCGGTGCCTGTTTGTCGTGTAAAAGCACCTCCGGGAGCAGAAGAGACGCGGGTCGGTCGCCGGCGCAGCGCGTTGAGCTAGAGAGTGTTCGGGGGTGGAGCGGCCGCCCCGCCAGGGGGACTGGCCTCCCGTGTGTGGCCCCAGGACCACCGCCAGCCGGGGGGGCCGGTGGCCTCAGCAGGGTGTCCGGTCGGCTCGGGTCCAGCGGAGGGGCTCCCGGGGCGTTGTGGGCTGGCGGCTTCCCTGACGCCTTGTGACCTTTGCTGCAGATTGCACGGGCACCCCCGGCCCTTCCTGGGTTCGCAGGCCGCTGGGAGCCGCCGCCGCGATAAGCATGTGCCAGAGCGGGGAGGGGCGGGGGTGACGGGGGCCTGGCCGGGCAGAGGCCGGGGGGGGGGGCACGAGCAGGGAGCCCAGGAACCCTTGTGTTCTCCCCAAGGCGCCCGGGCCCTGAGAGCGGGGTGTGCCCAGGAGGCTTCCCGGGGAGGCGGGTGGCGGGAACGCTGGGGGCTTGGGGCCCGTACCAAGGGGGCGGGGGGCCGGGGGCCTTCTGCAGCGCGCTCGTCGTACGTTGGCTTCTGGGTCATTCCTCAGCCGTGAACCGCGCTGTGTGTGCCCGGAGGCGTGTGCGTCTGATCCCCGAGCGCAGGCGGGTTCTTTTCTCCCGAGTAAAGATGCACAGAGACAGCGAGCGTCTGGGCAGCCGAGGGGCCGCTGTCCCAGTGTCACCCGGTGGCCCCCGGGCCCCGGGGGGGTGGGATCCCGGGTCACGGCCTCTGGTTGGCCGCTGGCTTCGGACGCCCTTGGGGTGACTGCTGGGATTCGGTCTCCGATCCCAAGGAGCCTGGGGATTCTTTGTCCCTTCAGTCTGGAGCCAGGATGAGCCAGGTGCCCAGTGGGGCACAGGGAAGGGGTGCGTCCGAGCCTGAGAAGGGCTCCCCAGGCCCAGGGTCACCGGGAGGCAGGAGGGAGGGCCGGGGGCTCCGGGCGTCCCCCTGCACCCATCCCCGGCATTGCCTGAGGCGTGGGCCCGGACGCGGAAAGGAGCTGGTGCGTCGTGGAAGGGTCTCCTGTGTCCCCCGCCTTGGGCAGGGCCTTGCACACCCCTTGAGCCTCGGTTGCCCTCCTTCGGGGATGGGGGGCGATTCCTCCCCACACAGTTGCTGGGTGCGGTCACCGCGTTTGACTTCCCACCTGCGACCAAACCGGGAGCAGCGGTGTCCTGCCTTCTGGGGGGCTGGAGGCTGGGGGACCAGGATGACCCGTGCTCTGTCGTTTGCAGGCTCCCGGGGGTGGGACCCCTGCACCATCCGCTGCTCTCGGCTGTGCCAGACCATCCAGGTGAGTCCAGGTGGCCCCTACCTGGGGCCACACCTCCCAGGGGAGCCTGAGCTTGGTGCTTGGTGTTGCTTTACTCTGTGGTCGTCGTCATTTCTCTTTCTTTCTTTCTTTTTTGGACTCTGGGAATAAATGTCCAAAGGTGATATGTATCAAGTTTTTTTTTTTTTTTCTCTTTCTTTTCCTGGATGCAGCCTCCTCCCCACGTTAAAGCCCAGGTTCTGGGGAAGCGATTCTCTCCGTGCACGGCTGCGGCTTAATTGCGCGGGTGAACGTTGGGGCCTCCCTGGAACCCGGCAGGTGCACTGAGCCCTGCTGCCGGCGAAGGCGCGTGGTTACTTCTTACGTCAGTGTTCAAAAACACAATTCAAAAATTTTTAAAGATTTTATTTATTTATTCATGAGAGATGCAGAGAGAGAGAGAGAGGCAGAGACCTAGGCAGAGGGAGAAGCAGGCTCCATGCAGGGAGCCCGACGTAGGACTCGATTCCAGGACCCCAGAGTCACACCCTGGGCTGAAGGCAGGTGCTCAACGGCTGAGCCCCCCAGGGATCCCCCCCATTTAATTTTTAAAAGAAGTCGAAACTCTTTAGTGTCCCTTTGTCGTACGTAAGGTGGAGAAAAAAGATCTTGGTGATTGTTGGCATCCTGACTTGAATACGTTAACTTTAAAAAATTAAGTCTGTGGTATCGGATCGGAGGACGTTTTGGGCACGAAACCGTATCATGGGTGTTCCGAGACGGCCTCTGCCTTCTAAGAGCTGCCCGCGTGTTCGTGACCGAGCTGATGTGGTGTCAAGGATTTCTCCGAGCAGAGGGTGGGGGCGGCGCGTGTGCTGATTTTGAAGTCAGATGAGGGGCACGTAGCAGTTTGTTAAACTATTTTGTCTGTTTTTGAATTTTTCTAAAATCGGGAGAGAAACGTATAAAAGGGGCACTAAATACGTGGGTCCCCCCCGCGGCCTGCGCACCTGCCCTGGGACATGACACCAGGACCCGAGGAGCCCCTCCCCGTGCCTCCCAGTGCGGCCTCTGCTCCCGCCATCCCCTGCCTGGTGTGACCTGAGCCCCAGGAGCCGGGACGGGCTCCTCCTCCCGGGGCCGCCTCGGGGATCTCCCTGTGCTGCTCCCCGCGTGCGCTGCAGGGGCCAGTGGGACCCACGCGGGACGGTGAGGGCGTTGAGGCCGGTGCCCTGGGACGGGAGAACCCGAGGAGTCGGGCACTCAGGCTCCCGGTGCCCGCAGCCCCCGCCCCCGCGTCTGCTCCTGACCGGCCCCCTCCCCTAGGCCCACGGGGCCGAGCCCCACCATGGAGGACGGACGCGAGCTGGACCTCACCTACATCACCGAGCGCATCATCGCGGTGTCCTTCCCCGCCGGCTGCTCGGAGGAGTCCTACCTGCACAATCTGCAGGAGGTGACGCGCATGCTCAGGTCCAAACACGGAGACAACTACCTGGTGAGTTGGGGGGGGGCGCTGGACGTGGGGACAGAGGGGGGACGCCGGACGGCCTCGGGGGAGTTGCATCCCTGCTGGCACAGCCGAGCCTTTCCCTCCTGCCGACCCGAGCCACGGGGCAGGGGGAGGGCGCCCAGGAGCCCCTGTACCCCGGGGGCGAGGACGACTTCGTGGGGAACCCCCGTAGGGAGAGATGTGGGGCCGAGGCTCGTGGGTCCCTGGCTGCTCAGGTGTTCCGTGGCGACAGCTCCCCCGAGCGGTGACCGTTGCATCAGCTCCAGGTGCTCTCAATTGCCCCAGCCCCTGCCCCCACCTGCCCCCCCACCTGTCCCCCACCTTCCCCCTGCACCGGCCCCCTCACCTGCCCCAGCACCTGCCTCCACACCTGCCCCCCCACCTGCCCCCCACCTTCCCCCACACCTGCCCCCGCACCTGCCCTGCACCTGCCCCTGCATCTGCCTCCTTCCTTCCCCGCCACGTACTCTCCCACCTGCCCCCGCATCTGCTCCTGCACCTGCCCCCCACCAACGCCCCCACCTGCCCCCCACCTGCCCCGGCACCTGCCCCCGCACCTGCCCAAGCCACTGACCTTTGCCTGAGGACAAGGTCGCGGTTGCCGCCCTCCGGGCCCTGGAAGCCGCGCGCGAGAGCCGACCGTCTCCTTTCCCCGGCGGCCGTGCAGCGCACCCGGCTCCCGATGCCCCAGCACCTGCGCAGTCCGACGCTGGTCCTTGGGGTGGCCTGACGGCAGGCGAGGCAGGGAGACGCCTCCCAGGGCCATGTGCTCTGCGGAGCTGTCCCCGTCCTGAGGCCTGGCCCGGGGGCCCGCGGGCTCCTGGTGCCCACACCTGTGCCCCCACCTCCATCCACCCGAGGGCCCTGGGCTCCGGGCGGCAGGAAACCAGGGTCCGGGGTATTCGTCCCTCCACCCCGGTAGGGCCAGAGCCCACCCCCACCCCCGCACACCTTTGAAGGCAGGGGTCTCTGCCTTGCGTTGGGACAAGGACCCCAGGACTGCTTTGTAGGGTCTGAAGGAAGGAAGGCCCCTGGGCGTGCCTCGTAGAGTTAGGAACCCCGGGGTGGGCTCGTCTCTCTCCCGTCTACACCTGCGTCCTCTGGCGGGTGAACGCGCAGCTGGCACAGCTCCTGCACCCACGGGCTGCTGACCGAGGCCGCCCAGCGTGCCCGTCTTATCGGGCCAGAGGGTCTGGGGCTCAGAGGAAGGTGGCCGCGTTCCCCCGACAGGACCCGGCCCTTCACGAAGGCCCTCGCTGCCCCCCGTGGCCTCCCGGGGCGGCCCCCCTGCAGGTGCATCCGCCGCCCTTTCGTGTTCGTTCTCTGCCGGTTTTTCGTTCTGTGACGGTCACATTTCCACACGTTTGAATCTTTCCCGTCCCTCGGTCCCTCGAAGGCAGATGGCAGGTGGCGCGTGAACAGCAGCCCCTTCCCCCTTGACCTCCGAGGACGCTGGCTTGTCTGATGGCCTTTTATTCCCCCTTCCCAGGTACTGAATCTTTCCGAAAAGAGATACGACCTCACGAAGCTGAACCCAAAGGTACCACCTGGGTCCCTTACGTTGGGTTTCATCAAACGTCCCCGATGCTTATCTGCTCCTGCAAAAACAGCTCAAGTCTCTGCGGGACGTGACCTCATAAGGGGTATCGGGGACTGGGCTGAACTGTAGGGTTTTTTTTAAAGACTTTATTGTTTTTAAGGAGAGGCAGGGACACAGGCAGAGGGAGGAGCAGGCTCCATGCAGGGAGCCCGATGCGGGACTTGATCCCAGGACCCGGGGGTCACACCCTGGGCCCAAGGCAGATGCTCCACCGCTGAGCCACTCAGGCGCCCCTAAAGATCTTTTATTTTTGAGCAATCTGTGCACCTGTCACGGGGCTCGAACTCACAACCCGGATATCAAGAGTCGTACACTCTGCTGACTGAGCCAGCAAGGCGCCCCTGTGGGTCATTTTTAAATTAATTTCTTTAGTTTGGAATAATTAAAGATTCATGGGAAGTCGTAAAAACACACAGGGACATCCCTGGGCCCCGACTTCAGGGGCAGCACCTCGCAGCACCCGTGATTGAGTGCCGACGTCGGCGCCATCCGCGGGCGGACCGTGTTCCGCGCCCCCCGGGCTTGCGTGCCCCCCGCGGCCGTCCACGGCTGCTCCCGTGTGGGTCCGTGTCCCCACCGCCAGCATCAAGCCCCGAGCGTCTCCACTCCTGGCATCTTCCGCCTGCTGCCCGTCTCGGCCTCCTAACTAAGCACGCGTTGATCTTTTCGGTCGTAAAGGTTTAGGGGAGAGCTTGAACCCTCACCACGTGGGCCTATGTCACCGTATCCTTTTTCCCATCGCTTTGCACTATTTCTGTCACTTCTATAGAAGAGCGAGCGCTGGTCCCCTCCGCCTTCAGGGACGGACGGTAGAGCAGGCAGCGTCGGGCTCGCCGGGCATCCCGCGGGGGTGGTCGGCTTGCCGGGTGGCCGGGCTCCGCGTCCCGCATGAGGCCCCCGGGGCTCCCTGGCGGCCGAGGAGCGTGGCCGCAGTCCCCGGCAGCCTCAGACCAGGAGGCGGAGGCGTGCTCCTTCCTGGCCCTCGGGGGTTCTGGGAGACGGGGAGCCGTGGGCCGCGGGGCGCCCCCGAGCCTGCCTCTCATTGCAGATCCTGGACGTGGGCTGGCCGGAGCTCCACGCGCCGCCCCTGGACCAGGTGTGCACCATCTGCAAGGCGCAGGAGTCCTGGCTCAACAGCGACCCGCAGCACGTGGTGGTCATCCACTGCAGGGTGAGTGCGGGACGGCCTCCTGCGCGCTCTCCGGTCCGGCGGCGTCTGCGGTCACGTTCCCATACTTGTCCCCACCGCTCCCCCCGCCGGAGTCCGGTCCTAGAACATGCAGGCCTGGGGTCCCCGAGCGCGGAGCTGGACACGTGGACGCTCACGAAAGGCGTCGACAGTAGCGAACCGTTTTATTTTTATGTGGTTTTATTTATTTTTTTAGCTGTTTTTTTTTTTAAATATTTGATTTATTCACAAGAGACCCAGAGAGAGAGAGAGAGAGGCAGAGACACAGGCAGAGGGAGAAGCAGGCTCCACGCAGGGAGCCCAATGCAGGACTCGAACCCAAGACCCCGGGGTTATGCTCTGGGCTGAAGGCTGATGCTCGACCGCTGAGCCCCCCCAGGGGCCCCTCTTTACGTGGTTTTATGTTTCGGGCTCTGGGGGCTGCAGGCTGTTGCCAGGACTTGGGCGTCTCTCAGGATGTGGCTCCAGGGCAGGCCCGGCTGCGCTTCCGTCAGACATGCTCAGTGACGTGGGGTCGTCGCGTGTCGCGGGACGGGGTCCCTTCGGGTCCTCTCGAGCTGCCCGGACACGGAACGGCTCTCGGGTCTCAGGCTGCAGGATGCGGGGTGGGGAGCAGTGGCTCTCCCGCTGTTGATCGGGGGCTGGTGACGTGTTCCGGGAGGCGCCGTCCACGGCCCTGAGTGCGGGTGGCCCGTGGCAGCCGAGCACCCCCGTGCAGCGCGTCCTGTGGGTCGTGCCGGCCCTCGGTCCTGGCTGGCCGCCCGCCTGTGGCCATGCTGAGCTCTGCAGGCTGGGGCCACAGTTCCCGTGTGGAGCGGGCAGCGGTGTGACGCCCCCCAGCCGTGCGCACGGCCCCCAGACCCGACACCCAGGTCCCGTCCCTTGCGGTGAAGTCATGCAGCAGCCTCCTCCTCTGCACGCTGGTGGCCACGGGGGGACCCGGGCAGGGGCCCGGCCCCCCGTGTGGGCCTGCCCTCAGCGCGCCCCCGATGCCCCAGTGGCGTGGGCTCCTGCGGGGGCTCCCAGCATGCACGCTGCTGCCGTCCACGTGTGTTGCCCCCCAGATCCGGTGAATGGCGCCGCGTCCCCCCGCGGAAGTCCAGGGTAACTGAGTCCCCTTCTGTGTCCTGCAGGGCGGCAAGGGACGCATCGGCGTGGTCATATCCTCCTACATGCACTTCACCAACGTGTCGGCCAGGTAGGCAGGGGCCCGCGCTGCGGTGGACGTGGGGGGTCTGGACCGTGGCGGGCATGGGGGGGTCTGGGGCGGCTTGGCGGGGCCCCACGCGCATCCCCGCAGCCGGTGCTCACGGGTGCTCACAGCCGCCGGGTTGGGGAGCCTGGGCCTCCGGGAAGCGCTGCACAAAGAGCTGTTTTCTCCCCGGATCCTCCCCGGAGACCCGGGCGGCGAGCTGTGCCCTCTGCTTTACCAACCGCAAGGCAGAGGCTCAGGCTTGCTCGTGGTCCTGACTCGTGAGCGGGAGGCCGGGTCCCCCCTGGTCCCCAGGAGGCCAGAGGGCGGCCTGAGACTCGCCAGCAGGGGCAGGGGGGGCCGGGGAGGTCAGCGGGAACCTGCTGGCTCTGGGGCAGCGGGTGGTGCCCCCAGATGCGTTGCCCCCCAGACACCGCGCCCCCCAGACACCTGGTGCCCCGAGCACGCATCTGACTCACGCTGAAATCCAGTCCAAAACTGCCGTTTTCCGTGGGTTTGCTCTTTCCCGTCAGTGGCCGCTCTGTGGGGCGTGGGCTGCGCCTCCCGGGGGCACAGGTGCCCGCTCACAGCAGCGGTGAACCCGCGCTGCCCACACTAGGGAGTGGACTCTGACTTTCTGAGCATTCACTCGGGACCCGAAGTGCGGAGCCCGTGACTGCCCGGGAGGGATCCCAGGCCCTCGTGCACCCCAGGTCCCCCCTCGGGGACAGCGTCTGTGTGTGTGCCAGGCCCTGTGGCTCCCGCTCCCCCTTCCTCCTTGGCTCACGGGGCTTGTAGAGCTGCAGGTAGGCATCGGGCGGTTGGGTGGCAGGGGTGCCTGTGGCAGAGACCTGGGGGCCGCACGGGTATCCCCAAGGGCTCCAGGGCCGCCTGCCTCGCCGGTGCCACCGTCCGACCCCTCCAGCTGGAGGTGCGGGCCCCCTGCGCGTCCCCAGCTGGCCTCGGGGGGCACCCACTCCTGGGTGCCAATAGCCGGCCGCGCCCCACGCCTCATGATCCGGAGCCTCCGCTGCTGCCTGCCGTCTTGGGGCCGCTGTGGCCGTGGGACGGGTCAGGGGTCAGGGTGCCACCCCGCACGGTGTTCAGAGCCACGGGCTGGCCTCCACGGTGGCCTGGGCGTGCTCCTGGGCCGGGGTGCAGGGGGAGGCGGGGGGGGGGGGAGGTGTGCGCAGCTGCTGCAGGGACGCCGCTGGTCGGATGCTGGTCGCTCGCTGGCTCGGGGGCCACAGTGCCTGTCCCCGCCCCCTGCCCCCTTGGTGTGCATGGGGTAATGCCGTGTCTCCCCCCCCCAGCGCCGACCAGGCCCTCGACAGATTTGCGATGAAGAAGTTCTACGACGATAAAGTCTCGGATTTAATGCAGCCTTCCCAGAAACGGTACGTCTGCGTCCCCAACTGGAGCGAGCTGCCAGTGGGATTCGTCTTGGAGCGAGGGGACCAAAGGGCCACCCCCCTGCCCCGCCGAGGGCACAGGGGAGGGCTGGGGCCGAGGGTGACACAGAGCCAAGTGCGTCCTGTCCTGGCCGCCTGGTCCCGTGGCGCTGGGGGTGTGGCTGACAGAGGGCCGATGTCCAGGACGCAGGCTCGGGCGTGTTTCCCCCTGGGAAAGGGGTTCCGGGAGCCGCAGGGCACCTCGTCCCTCTGTCCCGGAGCCTCCTGCAGCGAGAGCTGACAGCTGACAGCGTGGGGCCTGAGTCGGGAAGGCGGGAAGACGGCGCTTCCTTAGAGTCCTGGTCACGGGGCCCTTGGTCCCCTGGGCCGTCCAGCGCCCCTTCTCCCTGAGCAGGTTCCAAGGCGGGGAAGTGGGGCTGCGGCCTGGGCAGGGTGTGACCTGAACGTGGGCGACCCCACCTGAGGCTCTGCACACCGGGAGGACTGCTTCCCCCTCCCCTGCCTCCCCCCCACTCCCTGCCTCCCCCCCTCCCTCCCTTCTCCTCTTTATCCCTCTCTCTCCTCCTCCCTCCTCCTCCCTCTCTCTCCACCTCCTCTCCTGCCCTCCCTCCTCCTCCCCCTTCTCCTCCTCCCCTCCTCCCTCCTTCCCTTCCTCACCCCCTCCCCTCCATCCTCCTCCTCCCTCCTTCCCTCCCCCTCCCCCTCCTCTTTCTCCTTCTCTCTCCACCTCCTCCTCCTCCCTCCCCTCCTCCTTCTCCCTCTCTCTCCCCCTCCTCCCCCTCCTCCTCCCTCCTCCCCCTTTTCCTTCTCCCCTTCCCTTTCCTCTTCCTCCCCTCTCCCCCTCCTCCCCTCCCTCCTCCTCCCCCCTCCTCCCCCTTCTCCTCCCCCTCCCCTCCTCTTCCTCCCTCTCCCTCCTCCCCTCCCTCCTCCTCCCCCCTCCTCCCCCTTCTCCTCCTCTTCCTCCCTCTCCCTCCTCCCCCTCCTCCTCCCTCCTCCCCTCCCTCCCTCTCTCCCCTCCCTCCTCCTCCCTCCTCCCCCTCCTCCTCTTCCTCCCTCTCTCTCCTTCCCCTACTCCCCTCCTCCTTTTCCTCCTCCCTCTCCTCCCCTCCCTCCTCCTCCCCCTCCCCTCCTCCTCTTCCTCCCTCCTCCTCCTCTTTTTCCTCCCCCCTCCTCTCCCCCTCCTCCCCTCCCTCCTCCTCCCCCCTCCTCCCCCTTCTCCCCCTCCCCTCCTCTTCCTCCCTCTCCCTCCTCCCCCTCCTCCTCCCTCCTCCCCTCCCTCCCTCTCTCTCCCTCCTCCTCCCTCCTCCCCCTCCTCCTCTTCCTCCCTCTCTCTCCTTCCCCTCCTCCCCTCCTCCCTTTCCTCCTCCCTCCCCCCCTCCTTCTCTTCCTCCCCTCCATCTTCCTCCTTTTGTCCATCCAGCAACCCTTGCCTCTCGCAACCACCCATCTGTTGTCTGCGTCTGTGAGCTCTTGAGTCTGTTTCGTTTGTTCCTTTGTCTTGTTTCTTAGATTCCAGCTGTAAGTGAGGTCACGTGATCTCTGTCTTTCTGCGTCCGACTTACCTTACTGTGCCTATCACCTTCGAGGTCCGTTGGCTTGTGGTTGGCAAGATTTCCTCCTTTCTTACGGCCGATTACATCCTGTGCTGTACACACACCTCCGTCCCTCCACCGTGGGTGGGCAGTCGGGTGCCTCCGAGGCTCCGCTCAGCGCTGCGGTGAACACGGGGGCAGAGTGTCTTTTCAAGCAAGTGTTTTTGTTTGGCCAGATAGATGCCCTCGAGGGGAGCTACTGGAGCACGTCGTATTTCTATTTTCAACATTTTGAGGACCCTCCCCACTGTTTCCTAGAGCGGCTGCCCCAGTGTGTGCATTCCCACCAACGGTGCACCCGGGGCCCAAGTCCTCCTCATCCTCACCAACACCTGTTCTTTCCTGTGTTAATTGTAGCCATCGTGACAGGTGTGAGGTGGCATCTCATTGTGGCTTTGATTTGCGTTTCCCTGATGACCAGTGACGTTGAGCATCTTTTCAAGTGTCCGTTGGCCGTCTGCACCTCTGCTTTTGAAAAATGTCCATTCGGGCCTTCTACTTTTTGAAGATTTACTTCTTTTGTTAAAAATATTTTATTTATTGATTCACGAGAGACACAGAGAGAGAGGCAGAGACACAGGCAGAGGGAGAAGCAGGCTCCGTGCAGGGAGCCCGACGCGGGACTCGATCCCGGGACCCGAGGTCATGCCCTGAGCCAAAGGCGGACGCTCAACCGCCGAGCCCCCCGGGCATCTCAATATTGATTCATTTATTTAGGAGGGACAGAGGGAGAGGGAGAGGATCCCAAGCAGACTCCCCACGGAGCCTGGAGCCCAGTGCTGGGCTCGATCCTGTGACCCCGAGATCACGACCAGAGGTCAAATCAAGAGTCAGATGCTTAACCAAACGAGCCACCCAGGCGCCCGAACTTCATACAGATCTTAAGGTTTTCTTTCTATTTCTCTAAAAATGCCCCTGGGATTTTGATAGGGATTGCACTGAATCTGTAGATTGCTTTTAACAGTATTCGTTCTTCCCATCCGTGAGGATGGAACGTTTTTCCGTGTATTTGTGTCTTCTTTAAATTTCCCGTCAATATCTGATAGTTTTCAGTGTATATGTTTTTTTTCCACCTTCTTGATTAGATGTAGTCTTAAGTAAAAACAAAACAAAAACAAAAAAAAACAAAAAATGTATTCCTAGGTATTTCACTCTTTTTTATGCTATCATAAACGAGCTGTTTCTTCATTTTGTTCTTTCTTTTTTGGATAGTGGACTATTATCATATAGAAATGCAACAGACTAACGCCTGTTAATCTTATATTCTGCGACTTTACTAGTTTTATTTATTCTCATAATTTTTAAGGGGAGTCTTTAGGGTTTTCCACATATAATATCATGTCATTTGCAAACTGCGACAGTTTTGAATCTTTCTGATGTGGATGCCTTGCATTTCCCTTTCTTGTCTGATTGCTATGGCTGAGATTTCAACGCTGTTGAAAGAAAAGTAGCAAGAGTGGGCATCCTCGTCTTGTCCCTGATCTTGGGGGAAAGCTTGCAGCTTTTCACCGTTGAGGCCGGTGCGTTAGCTGTGGGTTTGTCATGCATGGCCTTTATGACGTGGAGAGGGGCGCTCCCTTTATACCCACTCCAGCTGTGACTTTTTATCTTAGGCGGATGTTGTATCTTGTCCAGTATTTTTTCCTGTGTCTGTTGCGACCATCACACGATATTTATTCTTCTTATCCACTCAAAACGCTCAGCACCCACCGGCAAAGAATGTCCGCCTTGTTTTCTTCTTTTTTGATCTTATGACTTACTATAGCTTTTTATTTTATTTTTATTTTTTTTTAAAGATTTTATTTATTTATTCATGAGAGACACACAGAGAGAGAGGCAGAGACACAGGCAGAGGGAGAAGCAGGCTCCATGCAAGGAGCCTGACGTCGGACTTGATCCCAGGACCCCAGGATCAGGCCCCGGGCTGCAGGCAGTGCCAAACTGCCGTGCCCCCGGGCTGCCCTACTATATAGCTTTTTAACATCAGTGCCGGAGTGTGGAACACAGAGAAACATTTTCTCACCCTTGGCAAGCCCGTGGCTTTTGTGCTCCCTTCCTGACCGTGTGCACCGGACACTGTAGTGTTTACGACGTGTGACCGTGGTGCGGGTTCTGTTCCGCCCCCCGTGGCGAATCTCCCTGTCCCTGCAGGTGGGAGAAATGGTACCCACCCCGCTCCTGCGACGGGAGATGCCCCAAACCATCACTGGGTAGCTAGATGGCTGAGTGAGAGCACACCATGCGTCCGGAGGCACTCTGAGGTTGGAGGAGCCCAGGATGGCTGCATTCACATTGCAGACGCTGTGATGGGGGCCCTCCCCGTGGTCCCGGCCACCCCAGGGGGTCGCTCTGCAGGCTCTGCAGCCCGTGCCATGACTCCCATGGGGAGAATGAATTAATCAGCTTGCTGGGGGGTTGTGGCCTGGGAGGCTCGGGGTCTCAACCACGAGCCGCCTCCAAGCCTTCACTTAATTAATCCCGGGCTGATGAGCTTGGGAGGCCCCATTTGACCGGAGCTGAATTCTCTGCTACTTTCTTCCTTTCTCTTAAAAGCCATAGAATGTTCTCGGCGAAGCCCTGGGGCTGCTGATGGTCGTGGAGTTCGTTTTGCTTGGATCATTTAGAACACTTTCCCTCAGTCTTAGCTCACCATCGGCACCGTGGGCGTGCCGCGTTGATGGTCAGAGCTTCTGGCCCCCGTGTCCTCTGCTCTTTGCTTTCTTTCTGGGAGGGAGTCCAGACAGCAGCACAGTAGTCTCGGCCCCGTCGGGGAGGGGCGTGGGGCACAGCGATCCTCCCTGTGCCTGACCCTGCCGGACGGCTCTGGGCCTGCAGAAGCCGGGGATCCTGGGTCTGTCTCCTAGCCGGACACTTCCCAGCAGAGCTTCATTGGGCTTCTGACATGTCTGTCATCCTGGCGTGACGTCTCGTGTGTCTGAACGAGTGCTTGCCCCAGGGGCCGGGCCGGTACGGGGGGCGCAGGTGTGGAGCCTCCCCTTCGGGGATGTGCCTGCTGCTGCCCACGGGTTTTCTGGCACTCGGAGCCAGGGTGGCCCTCCTGCACGCGTCCTCCTGCCACAGTCCTGGACAGGAGCGCTGGGGACCACTTAGTAGCCAGCAAGCTTGGGCCCCATGGACAGGACAAGGCCGAGGGGGCCCAGCCCGCATCTCCCCGCCACCCGTGGGGCCCCCGCGAGCACCGTGGAGGTGACAGTGGGGGGCCTTACGGAAAGATGCGCCCTTACGGTGGCTCCCTCTGCTGACCCACGTGGCGTGGCCATGCAACCTCGATACACGCACGTTTCCAGGGAGACGTGAGCTTGCATCAAGTGCAGATCACGTGATTGGGGAGATTCGAGGAACACCCCACTGTGCATTTCTGCTTTTGGCAACTGGTTGCCAGGAACACGTTGGGCCCTGCAGATTTCAAACCTCTTTGGCACGGCAGTGATGACACATGGGCCCCCCGCCCGCCCGTCCACACGTTTTTCCGAGTCACGGAAAACATCACCGGGAGTTGTTCCCTCAGAGGGAAGGTTTGATGGTGGGAAGCCGTGGTGCCACGGAGCCGGGCTCCCGGGCAGTGCCCTGGGCGCCCGCGTGCTCCTTCCCTGCGTGCCACCCTCCTCACCCTGCAGGCCAGCCCACGTTTGAAGGCGACACCCATGCTCCCCGCGGCACCCAGGATGAGCTCCGTGCGCTAACCTCTCGTTTTCGTTTGTCCCGAAGAATCGGGGCGTAGAGAGGAGAGACGGGGTTTGTACCTCCTTAATGACCTTTCTGGTCACAGACATGCAGATCATAAGCCTCAAGGTGGCTTGCGTGTGCTGGCGCCAGGCCCCTGACCTCGGGCAGCACGGAGTGCAGCTGGGTCCTCCCGTGGGGGGACGTGAGGGCTGCTGGCCCGCCGCCTTCGGGGCTGGGGGGCTTCCGGAGCCTCTCTTCACTTTCCCATCACCACCCACGGGTGCAGGACCCTGACAGCCCGCGGCCTGACCCCACGCGGCGCTGGGTGGGGGCGGGGGCCACCTGCAGGGTGGGTGCAGGGCCAGCAGGGAGCGGGGGCTGCGTCGTGGGCGCTGGGGCTGCGCCCTGCAGGGTCTCCCAGCTGCGGGCATCCTGGGCCCCAGGACTGGCGGGCCGTGGCGTCGGCGCGCGGGGGGCCCTGCGTGGGGTCAGAGCCGCTGTGCCTTGGCAGGTACGTGCAGTTTCTCAGCGGGCTCCTGTCGGGGACGGTGAAAATGAACGCCTCGCCACTCTTCCTGCATTTTGTCATCCTGCACGGCACCCCCAACTTCGACGCGGGCGGAGGTGAGTGTCTGCAGGCTTGCTGGCCCGTCCCGGATCCCGGGCCTGACAACGGGCCTGCGCTCCCTCCTGGGAGTGCCCGGGGGCCCAGGGAGGAGCCCGGCGTCCCTCCGCCTGCGGCTCGGCCCTGCGCTGCCCCCCAGGGTGCGGACACAGCGCGGGGCGCCCGTCTTGGGCTGACGGGGCGTCGCCTGCGCACGCGGCTGTGCGTCTTACGGACGGCTCTGTCTTTCAGCGTGTCGGCCCTTTCTGAAGCTCTACCAAGCCATGCAGCCCGTGTACACGTCGGGGATCTAGTAAGTGTGCTGCCACCCTGGGGCGTGGGCCTCGGGAGCCGCCTGTCCCGCGGGGAGGGGGGAGGCATCCAGTGGGCGCCAGGTGCACAGCTGGCTCCGGAACGGGGTGCGGACGCGGAGGCCGGGGGGCGCGCAGGGCCGTGCACGGGGGTCCCTGGCATTTGCCGCCCTCTCCTGCATGGTTTTCAACCACTTGCAGACACATGCCCTCAGACTGTACGAGTTCCTGGGCTTTTTTTTGGTTGGCTTTTCTTGTACGTGTGCGTAAGCGTCTTGCAGACGCCCGTAGAGCGCGAGTAGGGAGGTCAGAGCCAGCCAGCGGCTGCCGCCTGCATGGACCTCGAGGACGCGGGTCCCCGAGCCCAGCCGGGAATCTCGTGTCCCCTCTGAGTTTGACTCGTGAGGTCGCTTTGCTGAAAACATGTGCTTCCCGTTGGGTCACGAGGTCGCCTCACCGTCTGCCTTCTTGTTTGTCCTAAAGCAACATTGGCCCCGAAACCCAGAGCAGGATCCCCATTGCCATCGAGCCTGCCCAGCTGCTGAAGGGGGACATCATGGTGAGTGCTTGCCGGCCCGGCCCCCTCGCCCCTCAGGCATCTGCTTACTGTGACCAAGAGGCCTGCTCGGCCCCTGCGCCTCCGAGGGTCCCCGCTCGCCCCCGTGATGTGCGAGCTCGCGTGTCCTCTGTGTGACATCCCGCCGGCGTATCGCGGCGTGGCGGGCGACCTCCGAGGTGATGATTGCGCCGCCAGGGCCTGCTGGTCCGGGGGGAGATGAGATGAGCCGTTGGGTCCTTGCCTTTGCTCCATCTTGAACGTAGAGGACGTCAAACATGTGAACCGATTGCAGCGGAAGGTGGCGTCTGGGAAACCTTGAGGTCCCTGCGCCTTCCTCCCGGTGCTGCCCCCAGGCTGCGCGGGGACCTGTGATGGGGGCAGGCGGCTCTTCCGAGGTGCTCGGGCTTTCTCCTTTGTGCCCCTAAACGTGAGGATTGCAAAGCGCTTCCTCAGTGGCTGGGCCATCCTGAGTTTCCGCGAAAGCCGGGTCAGCGGGGTCATCGCCAAGCCCCTCGCCCCCCAGGACCTCGAGAGGAAGGGGCTGGCGTCCTCAGGCCAAGGTGCAGGGCTCAGGTGTGCGGTGCAGGTGTGCCTCCCTGGCCCGTGGGCTCAGCCACTGCGCTGCGCTGCCTCCGAGGACAAGGGTTCCCTCCTAGGATGCTCTGCGGAGCAGCTCCAGCCTCCTCCGGGGGGGTCAGGAGACCCCGAAGGAGAAGGGGAGGCTGTGTCGGCATCTCCCAGTGCTCGATTATCAGCCCACGTGCTGAGCAGTTATTGAGTGCCTGCTGTTTACTCACAGCCTCCAGGGCTGCACGGGGCCGTGCCTCCGTCTCCCCTTGGCCCCGGGCAGCTTGAAGAGAGGTCAGGAGGGGCTAGCGGGGGTGTCGTTGGGCGTGGCCCTGGGTCCTGCAGCCCCGCACCTGGCACGGCGGATGTCCCCGGGGGGGGTGCTCCCTGTGGTTGGCGGCCAGGCCCCCTTGTGACGACCCCAGGGAGGTGGCCAGGGCCCTGAGTCTTGAGGGTCGCCTCCCACCCAGACTGCGGGCTGGTGGGTGCAGGTCCCCGGAGGCAGGGAGGCGGCCGGTGCACTCGGGCCCTCCTCCCCGCCTCCACCCCTCCCTCGCCCACCCCTCCCGCCCTCCTTCCTTCCGTACCAGGAGTGCATTTACGCACTTGCCCTGTTTCGAGCTTTCTGGGTCTCCGTGTGGGCCCCCAGCACAGGAAGGAAGGGAGGGACAGGGTGACATCTTCGTCCGGGAGGAGCTGGTGGGGGCAGTGACCTTCTGTGGGAGAGGGACCGGGCTGGGCCATGCCGGGTGGGGCAGGCGGGTGCGAGGCCCTCCTAGGGGGTGCAGGCAGGGGCTGGGGGCGCCAGCGGCTCGGTGGGTGGGCTCGGACGTCCTGGAGGCCGAAGCCCGAGGACCAGGCAGGGAGGCCTGCGGGGTGCTTGCGGGAAGGCTGGGGCTGTGGGCAGGGTGGGCAGGCCGACCCCAGGGCGCGGGACCTGTCCTGGTTCGTCCCATCGTGCTTCCTGTAGAGGCCTGGGGTGCGGGTTGTAGGAACGGGGAGGGGGTGCAGGGGTCCGGGGCTGTGCTGCAACGGGGTTGCCGCCGGCCGGCCTTCCGGAGCCCTCTGGGCCCTCCCTCCCCACCCCACCACCCGGGTGGTCCCTCTGTCTCCGTGGAGGCTTCTCCTCCCTCGGTGGCCAGACTGAGGTCCCCTTCCCCGCCCCTCGCGTGGCCAGCCGAGTGCTCACCCCCGTCCTCTTCCCCGCTCCCCTGTGGCTCCCAGCTGCCCCTTGCTCTGCCAGCCGCCAGTGTCGACCTGCCGGGTCCTGGGACCCTCCCCCGGCTCCCCCAGATGCCGAGGGCGAACCCGCTACGTGCCCCCCACGGCCACAGTCGTGCCGACCTTGAACCCGGATGGATCCCGACCCCCCGGTGCGTGTGCCGCCCGCGTGTGTAGCATGAGGCCGTGGCGGTCCCACGTCCTCCCACGGGAGAGTGGCCTGGGGGTTTCCCGCCCCCTTGATCGCGTGTCCCGGAGAGGCAGTGTCGTCTCATTCTGCAGGCGACCTGACGCCCCGTCCTCCGGGTCCTCCCTGGCAGGTGCCGCGTGTCCGTGCCGCCTCCATTTGGCTGCGTCCTGCGATCGGCGCCCCTGTGGCTTCTCCTGAGAATGCCAGGCCTCGGTGCAGGGCCGGTCACTGTGCTTGTCGGGGGGTGGGTGGCCACGGCGCCCGGCGCGCTCCCACCATCCCCACCAGCAGGCTGGCCGGCGGAGTGTCCGCTGCAGCCGCCCTGTGGGCCTGCTCCCGGGGCTGCCAGTCTCCTGGGTGCGTGGGGACAGCAGCGATCGAGGCGGACGCCACCCTGCACGGGGCTCAGGCGTCCCGCGGCTGCGGGTCTCGGGGGTCATGCACCCTGCGGGCACCCCGTCTGCAGGTCGGTTTCCAGTAGCGAAGCCGGCAGACGGTCCCCCAGCCGCACCCCCCGCCCTCTAGGGCTGTACCTTTGTTTGATGGACGCTTCCTGTGTTTGTGACTTGCTTTTGTACGCTCTGCACTTCCTGAGCGCCCCCTTATCAGCTGGGAGGACGCCGTGGGATGCAGCCAGCAAGGGGCGATGGTTCCTGGCACAGGCCACACGCCAGTCGCCCCAGTGCAGTTCATGATCTGGCTCGAGACACCCGGAAGGAGCGGGAGCATCTTGCGTTAGTTTCCCCGATAGCTTTTGTTTATTTTTTCTTAATGATTTATTTTAGCGAGAGAAAGAGAGAGAGAGAGTGAGTGCAGGAGCAGCGGGAGGGGCAGAGGGAAAGAAGCAGGTGCCCCGCTGAGCAGGACTCGATCCCGGGACCCTGGGCTCATGGCCTGAGCAGAAACCAAGAGTCAGATGCTGAACGGACTGAGCCCCCGGGCACGCCCCCAGCTGCCTTAAGAAGCTCCACAGAGCAGAGGGGCTACTCGGCACACACCCGTCCCCCTCCCGGGAGCTGGACGCCCCAGGTCCAGGCTGGTCCCCCGAGGCCTCTCCCAGGCTCAGACACCGTGTCCTCCCCACATCCTCCCCACGTCACACGAGGCCAGCCCCCTGCACGTGTCTGCATCCTGATCCATCTACTTACAAGCCCACCGGCCAGAGGGGAGCAGGGCCCAGCGGGAGGGGAGCAGGGCTCAGTGGGGGGGAGAAGGGCCCAGTGGGGGGGACCAGGGCCCAGTGGGGGGGAGCAGGGCCCAGCGGGGGGAGCAGGGCCCAGGGGAAGGGGAGCAGGGCTCAGTGGAGGGGAGCAGCAGGGGGGAGCAGGGCCCAGTGGGGGGGGCCCAGTGGGGGGGAGAGCAGGGCTCGGGGGGGGGGGGGGGGGGTGAGCAGGTCTTGCAGGAGGGGAGCAGGGCTCAGCAGGGGGGAGCAGGGCCCGGCCTGGTGGCCTCCGTCCCTCAATCACCTCTTGGTAGGAATCCCGCCTCCTGACACGGCGTGTCCAGGCCCCAGGCTGAGGCCGCAGCACCTGAGGTCGGGGGGACGTGCTCCAGTGCACAGCTCCTGTGTCAGCTGCAGACTTGTCCCAGCCAGGGGAGCCGCAAACCCGCGTCCCCTGGGCATAGGAGCCTCGGGTGCTGCTGGGTCACCGCGGGTGCCTGACTCCTGGGGCGATGTGCCTGCGGGACAGGAAAGGGGAGCCACACGCAGTCCTGCTCCCGGCAGTCAGTTCCTGGCGGGTGCCCAGAGGGCGGGCTGGAGGGCGGGCTGGGCTCCCGGTGGAGGGCCGAGAGGCCCCGGCTGCGCTGTGGGCGTTGGCGAGACCAAGCCGGGTGTCTGTCCTAATCCGTGGGGTGCACCCTGTGCCGCAGCTCCGAACCCCAGGGCCTCAGGATCCCCCAAAACCCGCTCGGGGGGCATCACGGGAGGAAGATGCCGCAGAAGGTTCCCCGACGTCGGCGGGGCGTCCCCTAGTGGCACGGGCTGCGTCCAGTGCTGCGCAGGTGGCCCTGGGTCCCGCGTCCACGGGGGGCGAGGAGCCCTGTGTCCGTCCCCAGGAGGGCCCCACTCGCTCCGTGCACCTCCGCAGGGTCAGCCGCGGCGTGGGGAGCAGGGCTGGGCCTCGCCTCCTAGAGGCCCGGAGGCACAGGTGCTCGCGTTTCTCCCCGAGAGTTTGGCCACAGTCGGGAAGAATCCCGAGAGCTGACCGGCTTTTGCAGGTTTAGCCCCGGAGCCGCGGGCGGTCCCGCCTGGCGTCTCCGGGGTCGGCGGAGCCCAGCTCTGTGCTCTGGACGCAGGAGGGCTGCTGGCGCGCTGGCTCCCCGCTGGGTCGTCCTCCTCCTCCTCGGCATCCCCCCTCCTAGATCTTGCTCCGTGTGCACCGGGACGTGGGACCCGCCAGCCGAGCACCAGGCCCCGCTGCAGGGATCGGGCTGCGTGGGCTCCCACAGGCCGGGCACCTCTGGGGCTCGTGCTGCTCCTGACCTGCCACCCTGGCCTCCTCGCCCTCTGGCTCCCAGGTCCGCCTTCCCCAGAGGCGGGGCCTCACGCGGGGTCCTAGGGGGAGCCCCAAGCCTTGCTGAGCGCAGCCAGGCCCTTGCGTAAGCTTGCTCCGGAATTTGCGTGGGCGCAGACGGAGCAGGAGCTGGCCGGGCCCAGGGCCAGGACGGGCTTGCAGACACTTTCCCGCCCGGTGTGCTGGGTCTTGTGGCCTCTGTGGAGCCGACCCCGCGGCCACTTGTCTTGTGGGACCTCGCCGCTGCGACCCAGCCTCTCGGGGAGCCTTGGCGAGCTCGCAGCACCAGGGGCCTCCCGCCGCCCCCTGCGGGGCCTGGCTCCTAGGGCGGGTGGTTCATCGGGACCCTGTCGTGACCCTGTCGTGACCCTGTCGTGACCTGTGCTCTCTGGACCTGGTCCTTGTTCCGTTCCACGGCCCTGGTGCACGCGGGACTGCACTTCCCTCCGCAGCGGGTACCTTGCTGACCTTCCCGTGGGTTGGGCAGGAATTCCACTCGTTCGAAATCGCGGTTGGCGCGGACACTGGCTGGTGTGGGTGTTGGGACTTCAGGGGCCGGCTGGCGACGATCGGTCCGAGGACGCGCATTCCTCGCGGCCCCCGGGGCCCCGCAGCGGGGAGGGGGCGGCTCTCCTTTCTGATGGGGGGTGTTGAGCTTCAGCAGGTGGGAGTTGGGACGATGTCGGGGGAGGACAGGGTGGCAGGGAGCGGGGGTGACACCTGCGGGCTAAGCTCTGAGCTGGGAGCACGCTCCCAGGCTGCGTCCTCTGCCTTAGACCCCGCGGGCCCAGGTCTGTTCTCCCGTCGATGGAGAGGACGCCTGGCGCCGCCCGGGGCTCGGGGGGCTGTTACCCTGCACCAGGGCTCAGGGACCGGCTGTAGCCCACGCCCCATGGGCACGCGAGCACCAGCTGTGCCCACGGCGTGTGCTGCCCCCGTGCCCAGGGCTCAGCGTCCACCCGGCACCAGCGCCCCCTGCCCAGAGCCTCCGGCTTCTGGCGGCGCAGCAGGTGGTCGGCGCCTCTGATGGGATCCCCTGAACCGAGCCACGAGGTCACGCCGCGGCACCCCGAGTGCCTTCCCTGCCTGGGCCGGAGCGCGCCCCGGGAGGTGTGAGGTGCGCGTCCCACCGCGTGCCCTGCTGGCGCTTGGGGCCCGGCCTGTGGCAGACGGTTGTCCTCGCGCACGGCGGCCGCTGTTCCTCGCTTTCACCCACAGTCCGGGCTGCGGCCACCTGAAGGTCTTGCGGTGCAGAGGCAGGGGATGGACTCGTCCTGGAGACACGCTGATGCCAGAGGGGCGACGGGGAGGTTAGAGACCGCGGTCGCGTCACGGTGACGAGGCGCCGCCAGTACTTTATATCCCCAAGGGGGCATCTGGTCGGGCCGTTGCCGATGACTCTGCATCGGGTGGGGCCGCCGACGCCGTGCAGGTCTGCTGGGCTGGGCGGGCGGGTTTAGGCTCTGCACGGGGCGCCGTGCCCCGGTGGGCTCCTGGGGCGGGAGCTGCTGGGCAGGGGCCGCTGCCCGGACCTCCCGGAGGAGGCTCCTGTGCTCTTCTGCATCTCCAGGAGAATCGGGCGCATGTGCACGAGCCGGGCGGCAGGTGCCACCCCACCTGTGAGGAGAGAAGCTCGGGTGAGGCTGCCAGGGCCGTGTGGGGAGCCCGGGGTGCCAGCCAGCGTGCTGGCCAGGATCCGCGGAGCCCCCAGGAGAGCGCGCATCTGCACCGGGCGGTGCCGTAGGTCACTTCTCCACTCCAAGCCCTGTCCCATCAACAACCAGCGGTCTTGGGGACACCCGGGGGGGCTCAGGGGCTGAGCATCCGCCTTTGGCCCAGGGTGTGACCCCGGGGTCCCAGGATCGAGTTCCCATTGGGCTCCCTGCATGGAGCCTGCATCTCCCTCTGGGTCCCCGGGGGGAGGGGTTGGCCTGGCCTGGGGGTGCCAGGTGAGGTGAGCTGTCCCTCAGGAGCCAGCTGCAGGATGAGCCTGTCAATGGAGCGGGGGGAAGGCCCCCAGAGAGAGGGCTGCGGCCGGGGGGCTGGTCTGCCCAGCACCCACACTGCCCCGAGGTCACCCGGGGTCCCTGGCACCCACCCTGGGCAGGGCTGCTTCTTCCTGGGTCTGACCCTGGGGGCTGGGCTGCCCCCTTAGGTTGGAGCCTTTGTCCTGCTGCTACAAAGTTAGGTTCCCCTCGGCATTTAGGACACTTTGGGAACCTCCTGCCCAGGTCACCATCACGTTCCAGGTGCAGGGGCCTGTCCTGGAGAGATGGGGGCACCAGGTCTCCCTGCGGGGTCCCCTCTGTGGTCTGGGTGGCTGGGTGCCCTGTCGAGCGGTCAGTCTGCGGGGTGGGGGGGTGCGTGCAGCTGAGGCTCACAAGGTGGGGAGGCACGTGCAAATGTTGTGGAAGGGATCCCAGGGGTCAGCCCTGGGCTGGGCCCCCAAGACATCAGAGACCCCAGCATCCGCAGCAGGGGACTGGGGCTGTAGGTCCGCCGCTGCACAAGCCGACTGCACTTGTCCCCCTTCTCCCGGATCCCCGCGGGCCGGTGCCGATGCCCCGGGCAGCCACGTTCACACCGGCCAGCCCAGCGTGTGGGTCAACGCCAGACCCTCCCCGGACGCTCGCTTTATAGTCTCTCCTTTATTTGTCAGGCCGTTTCCTTGTTTCCTCATGTAGATGGCACAGAGGTAAACAACCCTGGCTCTGCCCAGGGGGGCACATTTCCCGGGGCTCCCGGGGCTTTATTTCTCCCTCACGGGCTTCTGGCCGTGGGCCCCTGGGGCCCCTGGAAAGGAGCCCTCGCTGTGCTGGGCCTTGCTGTGCTGGGCCCTCCCCGTGGCCCCGGCGCCCATTCACCCCTTTGGGCAGGGAGGGCACCCACGTAAAGGTGGGAAGTGACCCTCGGGGTCCCTGATGCTGTGCAGAAGGGGTGCTTCCATCCTGCACGTCAGCACATCACCCCAGAGCCCTGGGCTGTGCCCAGGGGCCCAGTGCACCCCAACCTTCGGGCCTGGGTTCAGATCTCCTCGCTGGTAACTCTGCAGGCGGGTCTCAGTGAGCATCCAGGACATGGGGCAGTCTGGCTCGGGGCTTTAAATGCCCGGTCCCCTCCCTCTGGGTTTCTCCCTTTCTGCCCCAGGTCCCCCTTGCTCTTTAGGTTGTAGCAAGCACAGAAGCACTTAGCGCAGCACAGACGGTAACGGCCCGCCACTTCTCCCGCCAAAACAGAAAGGGTTTAAGTTGAAACAGAGAATTCCGACAAAAAAAAAGTCAGCTCCACGGGGAGTTATTAGAAGGATGGGATGAGGGGGCATGATGCTGAGGGAACAAGTATGTGGGTCGGAGAAGGACAATCATCACGTGGTCTCCCTCATACGGGGAATGTGAGAAGTAGTGAAAGGGATCATAGGGGAAAGGGGGGGAACTGAGTGGGGAAAATCAGAGAGGGAGACAAACCACGAGCGACCCCTAACTCTGGGAAACACAAAGGGTTGTGGAAGAGGAGGTGGGCAAGCGGATGGGGTGACTGGGTGATGGGCACCGAGGGGGGCACTGGACGGGATGAGCCCTGGGTGTTAGACTGTATGTTGGTAAATTGAATTTAAATTTAAATAAATACTAGAAGCCAGGAAGACGGGGTCGCAGGGCCGTCCTGCAGACCCCGTCCAAGCAGGCTCACATGTGTTGGTCTGAAGACCGAGGCGGTGGCCTTTCCGAGCTCGGGTCCCAGTGGGGGCACCAAAGCAGTGGGGACACTGCAGCAGGTGGCAGAGTTGGGGCCCCGTGGAGCGTGCCCGCCCCTCTTGCTCAGGATTGGCCCCGGCCCTCCCCTCTGCACACCAGGTGAAGTGCTATCACAAGAAGTACCGCTCGGCCACCCGCGATGTGATCTTCCGCCTGCAGTTTCACACGGGCGCCGTCCAGGGCTACGGCCTCGTGTTCGGGAAGGAGGATCTGGACAACGCGAGCCAAGGTGAGGCCCGCCAGCGGCTGGGGCGTGGAGGCGGCTGGCAGCGGGTCCTGGTTGCTCTCTGGCCCCGTTCTCCCCACGCCCCGACGGGGAACCTGCTCACAGCTCGGGGCGGGCCTCACGGAACACGGAGCCGTGGTCCAGAGAACATTCTGGAGGAGCACGCTGGGACGTCCGCACCGTTGGGGTTTGGGCACCGTCCGGGCTGGGGCGGAAGCGTACCCCTGGCCCCTGCTTTCTTGCCCCACCTCTCTGACCTTGTCCACGATCTTCCTTTCTCAGATGACAGGTTTCCTGATAACGGCAAGATTGAGTTGCTTTTCTCCGCCACTCCCGAGAAGATTCAAGGTAGGCGGGGTCCCGGCGCCGGAGTGGGGCGCCTGCCCGAGGGGACGTGGGTCCCCTGGGGTCTCTGTACGGTCTCCCACCTCTGTGCACAGCGGGAGGTTGCCATCACAATTGTTCCAAGAACAGGCTGTTTTTCAGAGGGTATGGGGTGGCTTGCAGACTGTGGGGCCCGGGGATCGTTAGACCCCACTAATGGCCCGACTTCTGCCCGAGGAAGGGCCCGGAACCTCAGTCCCTGAGAGTCTGTCCCTCAGGCTGGGAGATCCTGGTAAATGTCTGCTTGTCCCCAAAAAACAATCGAATGTTTTGGAAGAGGATTAAAAGTCCGTCTTCGGGTGCAAATATTTATGTGCAAAGCAGATTCTCCTTTCTTCTAAAAATACACGGAAGGAGAAATCTGCCCCTTCGTCGTCAAGGCGAACGGTTCTTTCTTACAGAGAGAGCTGGATGCGTGAACGTTTTAATTCAGGCCTTGATTGCTGGGAAAAGTAGCCGCCTTCCTTCTGAGGTCGCTGCCCTAGTTAACGGTTAAGTGTAGGGCTCGTGAGGTCAGAACCCCATCCGCTTGCCCAGAACGTGGGCAGGTCGGCACGTGGTCTGGGAGCCCGGAGCCCGCAGTCCTGGCCTAGACCTGCCTCTCCGTCCTCTGCCCTGGGGCCGGTCGCTCGGCGCCTCTGGGTCCCTGTCCGTGAAGTGACCTGGGTGGTCTTGTACAGATGAGGCACACGGGGCCCGGGGTGGACAGGGCCCCAGCTGGACGTAGCCTAGGTGGACGGGGCCAGGGTGGACTTGGCTCAGGGTGGACGGGGCCCGGTGTGGACACGGCCTAGGTGGATGGGGCCTAGGGTAGATGGGGCCCATGGTGGACAGAGCCCCGGGTGGATGTGGCCTAGGTGGACAGGTCCTAGGTGGATGGGGTCCAGGGGTGGATGGGGCCAGGGTGGACATGGCCTAGGTGGACGGGGCCCGGGGTAGACAGGGCCCCAGCTGGATGTGGCCTAGGTGGACGGGGCCCAGGGTCGACATGACCTAGGTGGACGGGGCCAAGGTGGACGTGGCCCAGGGTGGACGGGGCCCGGGGTGGACACGGGCTAGGTGGATGGGGTCCAGGGGTGGATGGGGCCCAGGGTGGATGTGGCCTAGGTGGATGGGGCCCAGGGTAGATGGGACCGAGAGTGGACAGGGCCCCAGCTGGATGTGGCCTAGGTGGACGGGGCCCAGGGTGGACATGACCTAGGTGGACGGGGCCAAAGTGGACATGGCCCAGGGTGGACGGGGCCCAGGGTGGACGCGGGCTAGGTGGATGGGGTCCAGGGGTGGACGGGGCCCGGGGTGGACGCGGGCTAGGTGGATGGGGTCCAGGGGTGGATGGGGCCCAGGGTGGATGTGGCCTAGGTGGACAGGGCTGGGGTGGATGTGGCCCGGGATGGATGGGGCCCAGAGTCGATGGGGCCCCCACTGGATATGGCCTAGGTGGACGGGGCCCAGTGTGGACAGGGCCCGGGGTGGATGGGGCCCGGGGTGGACGGGACCCAGGACGGACGTGACCTAGGTGGACGTGGCCGGGGGGACGGAGCACCAGCATCCCCTCTGTGCCTGCCGGCAGCGTTGAGGGCAGTGCACCCCGGCTGTCGTCGCCAGCGGTGTGGGCGCGGGAGTGTGGGTCTTGGTGCTGGCTGTTGGCACTCGAGCCCGGCGTGCCTCCGCCTCTCCGTCGGGCTGGCGTGCCTGGGCAGTGAGTGACACCTCCTCCCACGCAGGGTGTGAACACTTGTGCAACGACCATGGAGTGATTGTGGACTTCAACACAGCAGACCCTCTGATCCGCTGGGACTCGTACGAGAGCCTGGGCGCAGGGGGAGAAGGTAGGTGTGGCTGCCACTGCCGGGGTCCAGGCGAGGGGCAGCGAGGGCGGGCTGCTCGCGCTTCCACGGGAGGTGTCCCCGCTCTCTGCTCAGCTGCCAGAAACCCTGCCGTCCTTAGGGGCCCAGAGCCCCCGCCCCCGGGCGCTGCGCGTCTTGGGGGGGCTGGTGAGACACAGGCTTGGTGAATCTGGGTGGGGCGTGTGGCGCGGCCGTGGTGGGCGGCGGCCGGGGAGCTCCAACCCCCCCACCCCGCTTCCCTATTACTGGGGCGCAAGCGTCTGGTCACGGGCGGCCTCCTGGTGACTCTGTGTCCCTGGACCTCTGATGCTTCGGGTTAGTTGAGGTTGCTGTGACCCTGGCGTGTTGTTTGCGTGCTCACGTGTGCACACGCGTTTGCCCGCAGGATGGACCACTCGGGCCCCAGGTACCATCACGAAGGGGGAGAGGGCCGCGGGGCAGGCTCTGCTGGGCTTCCCCAAGGAAGCCACCTCCTGTGCATCTGAGTGGGGAGGCAGCGCAGCCTTCCACCGCGGTCACCCGCCGCCACCCACCCGACGGCCGGGCCTCACTTGGGAGGGAAAACCAAAATGCTCCTCGTCACACTGGTTCCACTGGGGAGTAAATGGAACAGCGTCAGCGCTGGGGTCTCGGCTGGGTCCCCGTGCACCGTGGCGTCTGGGGCCCGAGAACGCAGACCACCGTGTCCCGCAGAGGCCGCCTGCTGCAGGCTCAGCGTCCACACCCCATACGAGTGTCTTGCGCCGGCATCGGCCCCGCGCATGCTCGGAACCCCGCTCCTCCGTGCCCCCGAAGCTGTCTGCACGGTGTTTAGCCCCTTTCGGAGCTGCCAAGTGGACGTGGCCCGGGTGACCCCGAGCCGTCCCGCAGATCCCAGGGCCCCGTAACGGTGTCGTCACTCCCTCTGAGCTCGGTGGGGACCTGACGCGGGGTGGGTGAAGGCTCGTGGGCCCCCGCGGCGTCTGAGACAGGGCACGTGAATGTCGCCCGGCCCTGGCGCTGTTGGACAGCCACCACGGCATGGCCAGACCAGCAGCGCCGGGGCCTGGGACGGCGGGTTGCGGTGCCCCAGACTCCGGTGACGTTTCTGTCGCCGTCACGCTGGTGTGGCTCAGCGACGCGTGAGTGTAGCGCCGCCGAGTGTCGCCGACCGTCACACGGGGAGGACTCCCTGGTTTGGAGCATCGCCCCCGGGAGGCAGTGCTGACAGCCGCGAGGGCTGCTGCACCGGGGCCACGGTCCTGCCCCCTCAACCCCCGCTCCTGCCACTGGCACTGGGGCTCTGGGACGCCCGCGGTCCTGCTGCCCTGTCCACAGGGAGGGTTGTTCAAGATGCTTGTTCTTGAGCTTCCCGCTCCGAACCTCCACTAACCCACCTGTAAAATGGGATCTAACGGGATAGCCCCAGAGATCACCTCCACCCCTGCACCCCCTTTCTTACCATGGCTCGTGCGATCCACCTGCCCTGCAGCTCTGGTGCCTTTGTGCCGGGAGGATCCCGGGGAGGGGAAGATGAGCAGGCCTTCTGGCGTGCGTGTGCAGGTACGTGAGCTGTGCATGTGTGGACGCGTGTGTGGACACCTGCACATGCATGTGTGCTCACATGTGCATACGTATATACGTGCCAGGACACATGCTCATGTGCACGTGTCTATGTGTGTGTTTATAAATACAAACACGCTATGGCTGTGCATCTGGCCCAGGTGTGCGTGTCTGTAAGCCACGTCTTCACCTATATGCGCGTGTATGTGTGCACACGTAGTTGTGCAAGTCTGTACGCGTCTGCGTATGCATGTGCCTGTGTATATGTGTGTACAAATGCACCATATGCATGCGTGTGTGGGGATGTGCACGTCCGTATAGGAGCATACTACATACGTGTGTGTACGTGGGCGTCAGCGGGCGTGAGCGTGTGGTCTGTGCACTGTGTGCCTCCCTGAGCGGTCCCCGTAGGACGCACCCCATGTGCCGTAACTGGAGCACGTGCCAGGAATTAGGAGACCATCCAAGCGGCGCCGCTGCTCAGCCTGTCCCTCGGTGACATTGGCGGGGGGAGGTGGCTCCTGCAGGCAGGGGGCAAGGGGTGCAGGAAGGCGGAGGGCGCAGGCCTGTGGGATGCCGGGAAGGGGAGGGGAGGCCTGTCCCACCAGGAAGCATCCCGGCCAGAGAGCCCTGGAAGGGAGCCTGGGCTCAGGGTGACGCGGGGTGGTCAGTGGGTGGCCCCGTACTAGCAGATAGACGACTGAGACCGCCCCAGATCCAGCCCTGGGGTGAGGTGCAGGAAAGCTTCCAGCACGGCCCTTGGGGGACGTGAAGCCCTCCGGGGCGCCCTGGCCTCCAGATTCTGGGCCTTGGCCTTGGTGAGTTTCTGGCCATAGAGGATGCTTTGCTGCTCGTCGGGTGCACAGAGGGGGCCGCGGCACCCAGGTGTGGGCTCTGCAACCCTGTCGAGGGCTCACCGGCAACACCCCCCATCAGGCGTGGCCCAGACGACCCCGGGGTGGCAGCGGCCGGCGGGCGGGGACTCGAGTGCCTGCACCTTCCCAGGTGACAGGGCCCCGTCCGTCCCATCCCCTCGCACACAGGACCCTTGCACGCAGGACGCTCCCGGTTCCCAGCAGGGCATGCACAGGGGCGTGCGGGGCTGGCCCAGGGGCGCCTGCTACACGTTCCAGATCCAGCTGTAACATTCAAAAGCGGGTTCGGAAGCGTTGGTCCGGCTCTGACATCTGGAAACCAGAGCGAGCTTTGGATCTTGGGCGGCTGAGCGGAAGGGGAGGGTCTGCGGGGAGGGTCTGCGGCATCCTGCCTGGCTCTGCTCCTGCGGGCCCGCTTGCCGCCCCCCTCGCTTCCCGGGCTGGGAAGTCCCCTCCCTGCACCCCCCAACCCCTCCCCGAGCCCCGGCAGGCCCCGCTCGCTCCCTCCCCGGCTCACGGTGCAGCTGACCACCCGGCCTCCTGCTCAGACCTGGGGAAGCACCTTCCCGTCACCTGCCTCACCTCCAGCCCCAGCCCACCTTTTGGGTGTGATCCCAGGACCCCAAGAGTTAATCCACCCCCCACCCCGCGCCCAGATAGCCGGCACCCGTCAGGAAGGAGGACACTGTGCTTCTCTTACCTGGAATCCCAGAGTCTGCCTCTCTAGGCCAAGAACCATAAACACGTCCTTTGGGTAGGGATTGGGCCCTTTGGCAAGAAGACCGTGATGTCGGAGGCAGTTTAATGAGTGACAGCCGCCCGAGTGAGCGCCCTGGTCGCTCGGAGCCGCGGCTTTTCTAGGCTTTTTTAGCCCGAGCGGTCAGGAGGCAGCTGCAGCCGGGAGCCCACGTGGATGCCCCCGGGACGGCCGGGCCTCGAGCGGCGTCGTCCTCTGCGGACGCTGGCGCAGGCCCAGGCAGTCAGCTTGGTTGGGCCGGGTCCTTGGCCGGGTGTGCTCGCCTGGACCCCGTCCGTGCTCATGTCAGCGGCTCCCAGACCTCCTCCGAGCAAGGCAGGTGGCGCGTGCCCTCCCTCCGGGTCCTGCTGTCGCGCCCGCCCTCGGAGGCTGCATCTGCTCGCGGAGCCTGGCCGTCCTGGCCGCCCCACGTCCTTCCTGAGCGCGGGCTCGGGACTGTCACCAGCGCCCTGCCTCGGGGGCCAGCAGCTTGGTTCTCCTCGCTGGCAGGCTCCTGCAGGCCAGTGTTTGAGAGGTCGGGGGGCCTGCGACCCCCCAGGGGTGGCCGGGACGTCTGCTATGGGCGGGGGAGGGGGGGGTCAAGCCATGCTTTAAGGTTGAAATCCCAGAGCTGGTGAGTGAAGGCGGAGCCCTTCAGCTGCCGTAAGCCAAGCACAGAAACGCTGATGATGGGAGAAACCTAGGGCCCCGCCGTGCACCCCCGGACGGCGTCCCTCGGCCTGCATGGGAATGCATAGACGGGCCCTGAGACAGCCCTTCCCTGTCCCCCATGGGGAGACCGGCCTCCCCCAGGCCAGGAGGAGGAGGGCGCCTCCTCCCCGGTGGCTTCCCTGCAGCACCCGGGGAGGTCCGGCGAGGCCACCCCTGCAGGAAAGAGTGGGCCCCTCAGTGTGGGCAGGACAAGAGCCCGAGCGGGGCGGGGGCTGCGTCCCCACAGCCCTCCCCAGCCCACCCGCCCCGGCCTCTGGCCCCGGGTGTCGCCAGGTGAAAGGCTCCGGCCAGGCCTCAGTCCCCTTGGCAGTGGTGCTGGTGAGGCGGGGAGCGGGGGTGTCCCCAGGACGGGCCTTGTCCTCAGCAGGCCCCCGCCCACCGCCTGCCTCCTGGGCCTGGCACGTTGAGGTTGTGCATCACGTCCTGCTTGGAGACGAGCTCGGCGGGTAACGTCGGAAGCCACTGGCCGCGCACGGTCGTTTTGGGACGGCGTGCAGTTAAATGCCAACAAACAAGACCTTTACACGCACAACTGCATGTAGACTGGGGGCTTTATCCCCAGGGGCAGGTCCAAGGACGGGGGCATGGCCGTGCTTTCCCGTCGTTGCCCTGGAGGCTGTTGTCAGGGGCGGCGCGGATGGCGGGAGGCGGGAGCGTGAGACGCTGTCCCTTCTTGGAGTCCTCCTGAGCAGATCCAGCCCAGAGCGTGCAGTTTGCAAAGCATCCGGACACTTCTTGGAGTCGGGGTCACTTCTGAGGCAGCGTGTGACCCTCTGTCAGCTGTGCAAGCTCCCGGTGACCGCAGGGGCTCAGTGCACGCAGGCGGGCGCGTCCATCCAGGGCAGTGAGGGAGGCTGCCACCGTGTTCCTGCTCCCTGGGCAGGGGATGCGCGTCCCTCGGAGCCAAGCCGTGGGGTGGTCCCCGTGGCCCCTGCTTCCGGGCAGCTGGGGGGGGCCCTTCTTGTTGGGGACGCCTGGTATGTCCGTGGCGGGCTGGCAGGCGCGTGTGTTCGAGACAGGAGGCGGCGTCAGGCAGGGGAGGGTGCAGGCGGGGCTGGTGGAAAGGAGCCCGCTGGCGGGAGCGCATGGTGGCCGTG